AAAATTATATTTAAATATTATTTTAATATTTTAATATTTTAGTGTGAATTAAAAGTATCTAATCAAAATCAAAATACCAAAAGACTTATAATTAAACAGTTTTTTGGTAAAGTTTTATAGTATTTTGTTTATGAATATAATAATGCAAGTATAATGCTTGCATATATTGAATGAGCTAATATTTCTGATGAAAAAACACATAAATTTGGAATTAAAAAATTTTGATACTTTGGTCATAAAGAATTTATTGATGTACGAGCTATTAAAAGATGTGTAGAATTCTTTAAAATTGATAATGAATATTATATATTAGATAAAAAAATAAGGAAAATTATAGATGGTGACCCATTGCCATGGCGACCCCGTGATTGGCTAATCACAGTAAAGATTGACGATCATATATAAACAAGAATTATTCTGTTTATTTTGGTTTATTTTTGTTTATTTCAAATTTTTTTTTTTGCTTTCGTTGTTTCGCACTTAATTTCGGGATCAGGTATGTGATTTTAATTTTTCTTCGCTTTTTTGTCTTTTTTCTGTTTTTTTTTTATTTTTTTTCTTACCTTTTCTTTGTTTTTCGCTTTTTGTGCTTTCGTTAGTTTGCTTTTAGTGCGCTTAATTTCGGGATCAGGTATGTGATTTTAAATTTTTTTTCGCTTTTTTGTCTTTTCTCCATTTTTCTTTAGTCTTTTTCTTACTTTTTCTTTTCTTTGTTTTTTGCTTTTTGTGCTTTTGTTGTTGCACTTAATTTCAGGATCGGGTATGTGATTTTAATTTTTTTTCACTTTTTTGTCTTTTCTCCGGTTTTCTTCATTTTTTTTCTTACCTTTTCTCTTCTTTGTTTTTCACTTTTTGTGCTTTTTTTGTTGTTGCGCTTAATTTCGGGATCAGGTATGTGATTTTAATTTTTTCTTCGCTTTTTTGTCTTTTTTCCGTTTTTCTTCATTTTTTTTTCTTACTTTTTCTTATCTTTGTTTTTTGCTTTTTGTGCTTTTGTCTTTCGCTTTTTGTGCTTTTGTCATTGCGCTTAATTTCGGGATCGAGTATGTGATTTTAATTTTTTTCTTCGCTTTTTTGTTTTTTTCTCCATTTTTTATTTTTTTTCTTACCTTTTCTTTTCTTTGTTTTTCACTTTTTGTGCATTTGTTTTCTTTTCTTCGTTTTAATTTCACTTTTTTTTTTGTATTTTTATTTTGTTTCTTTATTTTTTATTTTCTTCGTTCCTTTTTTTTTTTTGGTTTCCTTTCGTCTTTTTCTTTGGTTTTTTTTCTTCTTCGCTTCTTTATTTCCCCATATTTTTTTTTCTTTTCATTTTGTTTTTTTTCGTTTCCCTTTTGTTTCTTTTTTTCCAATTTCTTTTCTTGTTTTTTTTATTCACTGTTTTCTTGCTTTGTTCTTTTTCCCTTTGTTCTTTTCTTTTTTTTCTTTCATTTTCTTTATCCTTTTTTGGTATTTTTCTTCGATTCGTCACTTTTTTTCTTCTTTCATTTTTTTACTCTGTTTTCTTTTCATTTCTTTTTTTTGTTTCTTCATTTCTTTCTTTTACCCTTTCTTCATTTTGTTTTTCTTTTCTTTCCTTTCGTTTTCTTTCTTCTTTCATTATTCTTTTCCCCTTTGCCTTGTCTTTTCCCGCTGTTTTCTCTTTCTCTGTTGTCTTGTCTTTCTCTGTTGTTTTGTCTTTCCCCTTTGCCTTGTCTTTTCCCGCTGTCTTCTCTTTCCCCATTGTCTTGTCTTTCCCCGTTGTTTTGTCTTTCCCCTTTGCCTTGTCTTTCCCCTTTCGTTTCTTCTTCTATTTGTTCTTTTTATCTTTTATTTCGTTTTTTTCATTATTTTTTCTCTTTGTTTCTTTTTTCTCTTTCGTTTCTTTCGCTTTTCTTCCGTTTCTTTTTTTTTACTTTGTTTTTTTTCGCTTCTCTTTCGGTTCTTTTTTCCTTTGTTTCTTCTATTTTGTCCATTATTTTTCCTTCATTTTTTTTTTCTTCTATTCTGTTTTTTTTTCTCTTTCATTTCCTTTTTTTTTTTTTTAATACTTACTAATACACTTCTCTTTTTTATGTATCTGAGTCATTGTCGCTGCTGCCGTCGTTGTTGGAGCTATTGGATTTGTTATCGTTGGTGTTGGAGTTTTCGTAGTTGGTGTCGTCGCTTTTGGTGGTAAAACTTCGTCATTGGTGTCGTCGTCTTTGATGGTGAAATAGTTGTCGAATTTTGCTGGTGGATTTTGTTATGCCAGATATTTATGTTGGATTCTTGCTGTTAGATTAGTTCTTTATTTAAAGCAGGTGGGCTTGTAATAATCATTGTAGTTTTTTTTTTTTAATAATTTTTTTAAAGTTACATGATACACGTGATCGATTTTGATTGGTCGATCACGGGGTCGCCATAAAATAACGTCTAAAAAATAATATAACTTTAAAGTAAATTTTTATTTTGTATAAAATTATATAACAATAATCAGATCTTAGGTTTTCTTTAGCTTTAATATATAAAAAATAATTTTAAAATTATAATTATATAATAACAACCAAATCTTGAATTTTCTTTAGCTTTAATATATAAAAAATAATTAATTTTATTTGTAATTTGTATTAAAAATAATTTTGTATCTATCTAGTATAACAATTCAGCATTTATTTTATATCAAAAATAATTTTGTATCTATTCAGTATAACAATTCAGCATTCATTCTATATCAAAAATAATTCTGTATCTATCCAGTATAACAATTCAGCATTTATTTTGTATCAAAAATAATTCTGTATCTATTCAGTATAACAATTCAGCATTTATTCTGTATCAAAAATAATTCCATATCTATCCAGTATAACAATTCAGCATTCATTCTGTATCCAAAATAATTCCATATTTATTCAGTATAACAATTCAGCATTCATTCTGTATCAAAAATAATTCTGTATCTATCCAGTTTAATAATTCAGCATTCATTCTGTATCAAAAATAATTCTGTTTCTATCCAGTATAACAATTCAGCATTCATTCTATATCAAAAATAATTCTATATCTATTCAATATAACAATTCAATATTAATTTATTATATAAACTTATTATTCAGCATATATATATTATATTCGGTATATTATTTGTAATTTTCTTTATTATTTTTGTATATATTTTTTCATAAGGTCACTAAAGTAAAATCATTATACCAGACTTATAAGAGTCAGTTTTTTAGTATACCAGTGGTATAAATATTAAATTGCTGATTGAAAAGATTAAAAAAGGTCTGTCAGGAGCTTTTCACTCACCTGGTACTTGATATCTTTTAATTATTGTCGCGGCTGTTGCTGGAAATGGCTGAAGCTAGAAAATTTAAATATTTTAATATTAAATTTTTAAAAATTTTTGGGGTGCATTTTTTTAGCTTTTTTTTCATGGTTAGCTTAGGAATTAGGGTTAGTTTTGA